CAACTTGGGCCAGTGAAGCAACGTCCTCCACAACTAGACTGAAGAACAAAAGGATAGCAACTTGTCTGTTCCCCTTCCCCCAATTCCCCAATAAAAAAAAAATCTTAAAAAAAAACAAACAACACCTTGATTTTCCAGGAAAGTGCTTTCCCAGTGACATGTTTTTGCCCACATCATTGCACTTTAGTTCCATAAAAAGTCTGCAAAGTAGAAAGAGAAACATTTTACCTCTATTAATGAAATGAAGTGGACAAGACTTCAAGTAGTAGAGTGGTGACTGCCTAAGGTCATACACTCACTGACAGAATCAGGGCCAGACCCAGGACTACAGACTTCAAGTCCAGTATTGTTTAGCAGTAGACCACTTTGTGCAAATATCTGCGGAAAGACTAACCTCACTCTCTTTTGGTAATCTGCTTGTGCTTGGGCCTAGAACAGTTTAGACAGGTTCATCCTTGCCTGAGACTGTCCTTTCACATTTAAAGCAAGCAGAGACAAGAGAAGAATAACGTAAACATAAAGAGGCTATTAGTGAATCCTGGAGCTAAATGACATATATTTTTTATTTTATCAATGTAATTACATCAGATTATTGGAATCTTACATCTAACTAAATAGGATGTCTCGGTTAAAAACAAATGGAAGGAAGGAAGGAAGGAAGGAAGGAAGGAAGGAAGGAAGGAAGGAAGGAAGGAAGGAAGGAAGGAAAGAATGGAGGGAGGGAGGGAGGAAGGAAGAAGACCAATAATGAATGCCTACTGTTACGAAGAACATATAAATGGGTTCCACTCCAGTCTTATTGATATATTTTCCCTATGGTGATGGGCTAACCCTTATTTTTTTTAAACCTAAAACCAGTAAAATTCTATCCTTGGATAAGGGGCAACGAGATAAGGAGGTTTCAAAAACCCTTGATCCTTCAAACATAGGCACAGTGCTTGGCAAAGTCTCCAGGGTGTCCCAGGGGTGCTGAATGCGGCGCCACATCAATAAATAAACGTACACCCTCCCAACCTCTTGAAGGCCTGCCCCAAGAGAGGCCACAGGACCGCTCTCTTTGCAATGACAGAAAGGGGTCCAGTGTGCCTTGGGAAAGAGAACTCCAAACCGCTGGCCAGACCGCAGCACAGGGATGGTCACCGTTGGGCCAGCTGTGGCTATCGCAACCTGACCCGAGAGGCTGCCGGCCTCCCGCTGTGCAAGAGGAACCGGGAGCTGAAGGTAAGAGTGCAGTGGAGGACGAGCCCCATCCCCAGGGAGGCGGGGGAGAGGACTGCGCGCGCATGCGCATCGCCGCAACCGGCCGGAAGAGCCTGGCAGCAGAGGCACGGCTGTCGGCGCCAGACGCCGCGACGGCCGAAGGGAAAGCGCCGGCCCCGCGATGCGGCCCCTGGACAGCACCAGGGCCGCCGAGCTGCAGGAACCCGGGCTGCCGCTTACAGGCGACACGTCTCCGGGCGTGAGCGAGGAGCCGGCGGCTGCCGAGGAAGCAGGAGCACCCCGCCCGGGATGGTGCTGGTTGTGCCGTTCTTGGTCGTGCGGCTCACGCGTGGAGTCCGGTGGTAAGTGCCGGGTCCGGACCTGAGCGCGGGTCTCACCTTGGAGGGGCCGAGCAGGCGCCAGCACGGGGATCCCCGCAGCCACAGGCCAGGGATGCATTGCGGACCGCGCCCCCGATCCCCATCCTGCCCGGAGCTCGGGAAAACCTAGAGTTGTCACCTGGGGGACAGCAAAGCAGAAGTCTCCTGTCCCCCACCCTTCCGCCGGCGCGAAGACCCGAGAAAGTTTCTGATTGTGTTTGGAACCCCTTTTGGGGATTCTAAAACTGTTCCTATAATTAAAGTATTGGCTATGGAGTCAGATTGCAGTTCAGCGTTCCCGGCCCGAGGTCGGAAGTTGGGGGTCAGCGAGAAGGGCCATTGCTCAGTCGCCGAGGTTGGAAGGAAGCTAACCATGAAAGCTGATCTCGGTGGTAAACGGTGTTCCCCAAAGAGGAAGTTTAAAAGCATAGAGTCTAAAAAAAGGTTTGTCCCAGAGTCTTAGAATCTTGAGAAGGCAGAATTGAATGGGACCCCTGGTTCTTGACCTTTTTGGGTTAGGAGGCCTTTTTAGCAACTGATGCCAAAGAAGGCAGAGGCATAGTCTTACATACATGGTTAAGGGGTTCAGGGACTCGTCCCCAAAGCCAAGTACGTATGGAAAACTCTTGATCTTGTTCTACCTCTTCCTTTGACAAATGAGGAAAGTGAGGCCAGGAAGGTGAGGGCTTTGGGGTTTTTTGTTTTGTTTTGTTTTTCCAAAGATCTGGCATGTGTGTGGGTGAGACAGGGCACAGGTCCCAGCAGCATTAGCTTGCCAGAAACCCAGCCCAGGGCCCTTTCTACTAGCCACAAGCACATTTCTCCTTGAACTTGGAGCAGCTTCCTGGAAGCAGAGGGAAACAGGCAGATGTCCTTTCAAGACAAAGTTACACAGTCTGCACCACCTTTGGGTAACCTCCCCTAAATGTGACTCGGGATTTCTGTGCCTCTATACCCACTCCACTTTTCCTCCTCCCTATATGCACATTCCCCAATTTAGAGAGATAAACCCCAGGAAGATAACTCTTGCACCGTTTTTGTCCTAAATGCTAATAAAAATGATCAGATTTCTAACCATTTATACATAGGCTAGAGCCTCTATAGCAGGAGTTACCCCAATCTGGGTTGACCAGATGTGCAGCCTTTGAAAAGGTCAGCTTCTCACTTTATCAAGCTATGAATGTCATTCTGGTGGAATGCTGAGTCAGTCATTGCAAACTCTTAAAGGTTTCCCCTATTTGTGAACTGAAGAGGAATACTGTTCACTCAGCACATGGCAAAATGACAAACCTATATAAGGGATTGCCCTTGTGAATCTTATGGGGTCTTATACAACTTCAAAGAAAATTGCTAACAATAAGACTTAGTAATAGTTATTATAAGGTGACCAAATAACATTCCAAAAACAAGATTGCCATAGAAACACTTTAAACCACAGTACTGTTGTCATTGAACTTTGTGTCATTGTACTTAGCCTCTCGATCCAACTGGCTATCTCAACAAAGCTCATTTTCAAGTTCAGGTTGAAACTCACCCATTTTTCTTAAATTCTTGGATAACCTTCACAGACAGCATACAGCTATCCTAAGACACCTATTTATTTCCTTAAGGGACAGTGTGGATCTTAGACTGAAGCAAGGATGCGAAGTTGTTTTAGGTCTGTGCCTCACATCCTCCTGGAAGGAATGAGTTCTTTAGCAGTGGTTCTCAGACCAGTGGAGCTTTTTACAGTTAGAGAGATCCCATTTCAGTGTCTGGGGTAGGGCTTGCGAATTGAAGTTTAAAAAGTTACTTGTTGATTCCAGTTTAAAGTAGAGGTTAGAGAAACTGAGCAACTTTTCTGTTTTCTTCTAACTCAGGAAATTGCACTGTGGCCACTTACTTAATTTGAGTTGTTTATAGAGTTCCCAAATTATTAGATACGCTTATAGTGGGATATGAACCTGGAAACACATTACAAAAGCAAATGCCTCTGGATTGTTCTCCTCTTTTGCTCATCTCCTTTGACAGAGAGAATGGAAATTATTATTCAGTAAGAGACTCAGGTTTGTCTAAGTAGAACTCGTTCTCACCCTCATTAACAATTAATCAAGTTCAGGTAGGCTTTGTAACAACTGTCCTGTCCCAGTCAGGAAGCCTGGGCCTTAAATGTTTATAGATAAGAAAATGTTGAGTGTATGTATTTTAAAGAAAAGATAATCAGAGCCAGGTGTGTGAAATTAAGTTTTCAAAGAGTTAAGATATCCTGTTAAGTTAACATATTCCTGGAGAAAAACTAAGAAGTTTAGGTTGGAGAAGAGCCTTGAAATATAGACCAGGGAGATGTTTTCTGTCCTTGATCTTCCCATTCTGTTCTGAGGGTGTAGGTTCTGTGTATGGGTTTGGTTTCTTTAAAAAAAAACTATTTTATTTGGGCCTGAATTCTGAAATTTCAGAAGCTAAATTCTAAGGCTGACCACAGCCAAGTCATGTATTTAGTGGTGCTTAACTCTGAAGTCTTCTAAAGCTTCCTTCTCTTGGGCTTATGGGTATGTGCAGTTTGTTTCCACAGCATCTGACCACATAATTACAGAACAGCGGATTCTGGCACTTATAATATATAACCTGTAACATGACAACTGCTAGCTCCAAACCATTCTCTTCAGCTATGCACCTAGAAAAGGAGGTGGAGGCCTCTGACCAGAATGACATCCTTTTAGTACAAAGGTCAGGTTGTAGAATGCCACAGGAAACACTGTGCATCATCATCATATGTTGGTCCCAATTTGCAAAGTGTCATTTGTGGGCAAAAGTGTTTAGCTAACAGGAGGATGTTGAAATGAATTACCTGGTGTTTGCATTTATAAGGGAAGGACATTAAAAAAAGCACACACATTATTATGCAGTATGTTCTATAGCGGAATCACACCCTATAAATTCCTAGATGGGAATAATGCTGGTTTTCCTACAAATGGCATGTGCCCACACATCCTTCAGCTTTGCTGTGCTCTTAGCTGATGAGGGCCAGTAGTGTCATATATACATACATACATATATATATGTATATTCCCCCCCCCCCCAGTGTGTGGCCATTTAGGGAGTTCTCTGCTCATTCTGCTCCATTTTGCTCTCCCCTGAATGCCAGGGGATGCAACTGAAAAGTTCTAGGGGCCGGCCGAGTGGCTCAGTTGGTTAAGAGTTGGCTTGGGAGCATGAGCTCTGAGCAGCAGGGCCACTGGTTTGGTTCCCACATGGGCCAGTGACGCTGCGCCCTCTACAGCTAAGATGGTGAACAACAGCTTCACCTGGAGCTGGGCTGCCGTGAGTCGCTAGCGATGGTGTAGGCTGCAGTGGGCTGCCGTGAGCTACCGTGAGTGGCCAGCAGCCAGCATGAGCAGATGGCAGCCAGCAGGAGCTGCTGTGAGCAGCCGTCTAATGGCCAGCAACTGACTGCCTCAGCCGGGAAGAACGCAATGATAATACCAACATGGGCCAGTGAAGCGACGTCCCCCACAACTAGTCCAAAGAACCAAAGGACAACAACTTGTCTGTTCCCCTCCCCCGATTCCCCAACGCTGTCCCCACTCCCCCAATTCCCCAATAAAATCTTTAAAAAAAAAAAAGAAGAAAACAAGTTCTACTTCTGTCTCAGGCAACTAAGACAGAGGAAGTGGCTAAACAAAAGTTTAATGCTCATATAGACTATCATTAATAGATTGAATACTTGATGGTCTGGAGAAAGCAGAAGTTTCCTGATTCAGATCAAGCCAGGAAGTTGGTTATTAGATGGCAATTCTAATAAGAAATGTTTTTAAAAAGCACTTTGGGGTTAAGATAATCCAGCCCTTGCCCTCAAAGACTCTGATTGGTTATTTTGAACCACTAGTCAAACCTTTATTTAATTTTCCATAGTTTATGACATCCTCCATTTGGAGCATAAAGTCTTTGAGGGCAAGGTTAGGTTAGGGTTAGGGTTAGGGCAATCAGAGAGCCTTCCTAGATCATGTAGTTGCCAGTAGTGTTACACCCTGTGCCTTTCCATGAAGTCCTCTCATATTCTTTCTGCCTATTTTATTGATAATTTCTAGTTTAATTCATTTAAAATGTCAAATATTTATCATTTCAATATATTTTGTTTCTTACATTTAAAAGTAAAGAATAGAATGTTGAAACCTGAATCATTTCAATGAGAGCAACAACAAAGACTCAAAATGTTATAGCATCATCCAGATAGAACAGATTTTAAAATACACAATGAAACACTGAAAGTGGCAAACTGAAAACTAAAATACATATGAAGGTTATACATCTTTGAAAAGAAGCAGATATGCAGTCCTCAAGTATGAATTTCCATGTCTCATTAATGCATCTAAATTACTGCCACTTCCTGCTACAAATCTTAATGATCCTGAAAAAGCTGGTTTGAATCAGTTTCTACCATGTTACCTTGAATTTAAAATAACTAAAATTTGAGAGCTGGGAGTTATTTTATTTAACATTTTTTCTTCATTCATGGTCTAACATTTAATGAACAAATTTTTCACTGAGTTTTGTGGTCAAGGATATTGGCAGTGAAAAATATTTTTTCTACTAGATTAAAATATGAATAGCAAAGCAAGAATCTAGTAAGATCGCATGAAGGAGTCTTGACCTGTAGGAAATAATTTCCTGCGATTCTTCAATATTGTTATTCATACAAGCACAAAAGTCAGGAAGCAATTGACTAGCTTCTCTCTCACACTCTTTCATTCAGCAGATATTTCTTCAGGGTCTTCCATGTGCCAAGCATGAATAAGGCAGCTGCGGTCCTAGACCTGGAGAGTCTCACAGGCTATGGGGAAAGTCAGATAATTAAGTAGCCATAGAACACAGTTATAAACTGTTTTCCAGAAAAGAACACTTTCTTCATAAAGCCCAGCTCACTAGTGAGATGATATAAAATATCTTTTGGAAGCATTTTTCTCTAGCCATCTTGACAAGCATTTCTTAAAGATTTCTCTCACTGTCTTGGCAAGCATTTAACTTCTTTTTAACTTGTAGGTGAGGGGATGTTTCCTCAGTGAGCCAAAGGAAATCCATTTTATAGGGTGAAACTGCATTTTAAAAAATACAGGTTTAAATTGTTTGCTTTGTCTCTGGCTCTTCATTCTCAGTGGGGAAAATATTTCAGGTCCAAAGAATGGATATGCTTAGGAGGTAATATTGGTAGCCTGTCAGCCATTAACACTGTGCCATATTTCTCAGTTTCTAAGTGAAAATGATCAAATATACACTTGGAAGCAAGGACTAACCAGAATTTAATCTTTTTCAGAAGGCAAGAAGAAAGCTCCCTGTCCTGGACTTGGCTTGTTTTACACATTATTGGCTGCCTTCTTTTTCTCAGTGGGCTCTTTATGTGTTAAAAAAGTACAAGACATCCATGCTGTAGAAATCAGTGCATTCCGATGTGTGTTCCAAATGCTAATCGTTACCCCTTGCTTAATATACAGAAAGTAAGTATTTCTTAAGTACATGATATTAATCAATGTTTGTAAATCTTTTGACTTGCTCAAATTATTTACTCTGTAGTACCTGCTTTGTCTCATAGATTTTACCAGTCCCTACACCCTTTGACTCTGATTAAACAAAAGTCACAAGGCTCCACCCAAAGAAGATGCTCATAAGCACAAACCACATGCCCAACAGAGGGGGAGAAAGAGATTCAGTTATTCTCCACCCCTCATTTTGAGAACAAAGCTTTCCTTGTGTAATCCCCCCCCCCCCCTCCTGTACCACCCTCCTTCTTTGCTTTGGCATAACTAGTATTTGGGAAAAAAAAGAAACGAGGAAGTGGTAGTTTCTCCTAGTGTCAGAGGTTTCTTTATGTAGAACAGGTTGCTCTGTTACCAGAGCGGACAAGGCTAGAGTAATAATATTCAGGTCTTCCCCCTAGGGTGCTATGGGACAGGAGAAAGGTAATCTTGAGTAGGGCCTTTTAAACTTTCATATTCAGTGTCCTCATCTGTAAATTGGAGGGAATGATATTCTTTGTCCTCTACCTTGTGGTTGCAAGGATCAAATGAAATTTATTATAGATCAGAGCACTTTCTATAAAATGTTCAGTGTATGAAAACTATTCCCCATCCTTCCTGACCTCTCTCCACCCAGCCCTTCTTTTCCTTCCATATGGACTCTCCACCCACCCTCCCCAGGTTAAAATTATGTTTCCCCCACACCATTATAACCTCTACATGCCCCTGTGTACTTATACCAGTTGGGTTGCTGGTGACTGACTGGCACCTTCTGTCTTTGGGCAAAGATACTTAAACCCCAGATTAAAAGATTTAGTCGCTTGCCACCAGTGTCCTTGTATCTATAACATGGTGCTGATTCACTTAGAATAGTTGTACTCCGTTTCCTGAGGATTTGGTGAAAAAGGTGAAAATCTACTAAGATCAGTATTGTTGAAAATTCCTGTGAAAGTGTGGACAAGTCACCATATTTTAGGAAATGATATAAGACTTAAGGAATTTCCAAGGGTGACAACAGACTACTGATGCTAACACAGTGCTCGTCCTCATTTTGAAATAAAAGTATCGGTAGGGGAAGTACTAGAAGAATTTTCTTAAATCCTTGGTACTGATTTGTTTTGACCCGTTTTCTGTTTCACTATCATGGAAGACTCTGCTTCTCAAAGTATGGACCAAAGTCTCTAACCCCAGAGACCCAGGGTCCCCATGTCAAGCCTAGATGCTATGCTGTCCTAAACATGCCCGGCCCTGGCACAGATCTGTGAGCTGCACTTAGCCAGGAACTTACATAGTACTCTACTTAGGAAATATTTAATTGAAAAAACTTTGAGTAGCAGTTATTATATTTAGCTGAATGCTACAGGTTCCTTTTCAGTGTGTTTTAACTCTTCCTAATGAGAACAATGAAAAGTCTTGTATTCAATGGCTAAAACAAATTTTAGCATTGCTTCAGCTTTTATAGAAAAACTCATACAAGATTTGGAATGCATACTACTTAGGACCAAGTTTTCTTATATGGGGCAGCTAAATCTTGAAATTGTATTATTATAAAAACAACATATTTTCATATTTAGTAGAAAATTTGGAGAAAATAAATATAAAGAAGGAAAATTATCTATGACTAGAATAAGGTATAACTGCAATGAACATTTTAGTATATTTTCCTTTTTGTCTTTTTTGCAAGCATATATATATATATATATATATATATATATATATATATATGGAAAATAATATCTATATTTGCCCAATTAAAATTATACTATTTATGTAGTCCTCTTGTAGTTTTTGCTTATACTGTGAACATTTCAGTGTCATTAGCTATACTTAGAAAACATTTTTAAAAGGTATATAATAGTTTTAATTATATTTATTATATATTGTTATAAAATATAATTAATTTGCTGTTCCTTATTTTTTAATAGTTGGACCTTTAAAGTAATATTTAATTAGGGGCCGGCTGAGTGGCTCAGTTGGTTAAGAGCTCGCTCAAGAGTTTGAGCTCTGAGCAACAGCGGTTCGAGTCCAGCCCGAGCTGAGCAGCCGCTGAGCTGCCGACAGGTAGCAGGATGGCTCAGCTTAAAAAAAAAAAAAAAAAAAAAAAAAAAGATAAAGTAATATTTAATTAAAATTTGTAATTTAAAAACAAATACCAAGTTTGTTTTAATATGTATTCCTTCATTTGAATTTACAGAAGTGGGTTCATAGGCCCAAAGGATCAACGAATCTTCCTTTTTCTCAGAGGAGCCCTGGGTTCTACCGCCATGATCCTTTTATACTATGCTTTCCAGACAACATCCCTCGCTGATGCCACAGTTATCTCATTTAGCTGTCCAGTGTTTACGTCTATATTTGCTTGGATATTTCTCAAGGAAAAATATACCCTTTGGGATGCTCTCTTCACCACATTCACCATCACCGGAGTGGTCCTAATTGTGAGGCCGCCATTTTTGTTTGGTTCCAACACCACGGGGATGACTGAAAGCTATTCAGATCACCTGAAGGGCACATTCGCATCCATTGGACATGCTTTGTTTGCTGCCTTAACTATAGTTATCCTCAGAAAAATGGGGAAATCTGTGGACTACTTTTTGACCATTTGGTATTATGTGGTACTTGGCCTCATAGAATGTGTCATTGTCCTCTTTATATTAGGAGAATGGAGTCTGCCGCATTGTGGGTTGGATAGGCTCTTTCTCATACTAGTTGGGCTGTTTGGTTTGGGGGGTCAAGTGTTTCTCACCAAAGCCATTCGAATAGAAAAAGCAGGACTAGTGGCATTAATGAGGACCATGGATGTGGTTTTTACTTTCATCTTTCAGATTATTTTCCTTAAAGATGTACCAACGTGGTGGACAGTGGGTGGCGCACTCTGCGTAGTGGCCAGTACTACTGGGGCAGCGGTTCGTAAATTGTGCCTGGGTTCCAAATGAAGCATTATTGCTGAAATGTGTATTTTTTTCTTTCAAGTACACCATCACCCAGTTCAGAACACTACACATGCACACACCCAGATAATCTGCCTTTACTTCATTGATTATATTTAATAAATTTCATAACTAAAGTATACCATTTTTTAATATGGTATGTCTTCAGAGAAGCATAGCCAGTCAGTTTGGTCGAGCAATTATTATTATTATTATTATTATTATTTTTATTTTTGTTGTTGGGGTGACATTTGCAAGAGGACAGCTCATTAGTTGAAGAAACACTGCAAAAAATTTTATGACTGTAATATAAATATATGTAATTTTTTTAAGTACATTTTTCTTACTGATGAAATATAGGTGGGGAGGAAATTTTAGATGCTTTTCAAGTAGTGTAGAGTCTGAGAAAGTTACTGATAATAATGCTGCTATGATTAGTATTATGTTGAAAATTCATTTGAAACATAATTCTATTTAGGAGGCCAAAGCTGAAATTTGGAATAGGTGCCTACTTAATGGTGTTAGTAATACAAATGAATTAGCCTTATTTTCAAGGCTTTTATAAATGTAAATGATTATCATTCTTTGAACCCATATTTGTGCCTTTTCATTTTAATGCCTGAATTTTTATATGTAAACTTTTAAAAAAGTTTTTAAATCACCAAATTTGACTAATAGTTTCTCTTTCAGTGGCATTAGCAACTGTAACTTCTATAATTTTAATTGCCCTTTTTTTTTTTTGAAACTGCACTAAATTTTTGTAAACTTTTTAAGATTTCAGGCCTTTAAATCGCAAGACAGAAATCTTGGCATGGCCAATGTGCACATTTCCATCCTTAGTGTTTTCCCCTCACTAGAAATGTGATTTTCTATAAATTCCCTTTGAATTTATAGAGTGATGCCAAATAAAATTTTCTCAGGATTTTATTAGGTTGAATCATATGAAATTGCTGAAATTTTATCATTCTAACTTACAAAAACTATAGTTTCTTATGGTTCATCCTAATAGATACCTCCATTCCACTCTAAACCAAATACTTAGAGGACTTTGGAATATATATTTTTAAAACAACTTTAAAGTACAGTAATCCTATGAAACTTATTTTTATAGTCTTTCCTTTATGGAATTATATGTAATAATGCTTCATGTTATATGTTAAATGTAAAGACCTGTGAATTCCATGGTTGATTGACTTGTGGTTTCTGGAGTAGAAAAAATATCACTGTTAAAGTCTACTATATCAGTGTGATATTAAATGTCAGTGCTACACCATGATAATATCATGAATTCAAAAAACGACAAATTTTGTATCTGGAACTTCATCAGGCCAATACTCTATAGTTAAAGAGAGAATATTAGGAAAGCTCAGGAGGTTAATCAGGACGTGGGGAATCCATGCAAATGATTTTGTCGCAATGAATCCTTTATTGGTGAGTCTATAATGGTCTCCAACTCTTGCTTTTTCAGACCTAGCCTCAGTTATTATCGTAAGCCTGCAAATTTGAAAGATTATAGGCTCTTCCCCACCCTTTCATCACAATTCTTCCAAAGTAAGAAGGGACTTCCTTCTCAGGTTTATGTCTTAGTGAGAAAGGATCTTCTCCAAAAGTTCCAAAAGGGAATTTTTGACTTACTCATCTTCCCAAATGCTTCCCACCTGACAAATCCTAAAGGAAGTCTATTTAGGGGAGTCACACTACCATAAGTTTAACCTAATCCACAATATTGGGGCTTAGAATTGCAAAAGCATAATTTTGCAAGTATCTTAGATAATTATAGAATCAGCATTTTAGAGCTCAAGGGTTAGAAATCCTCTTATAGGAGCCACACTACATAGAGATGCTAGGGAGGGGACCTGCCCAGGATGGGTTTCCATGGCCTTCTCCCCTCCCTTAATTCCATGATGAAGTATGGAAAGTAACCACTGCTTGACTTACCTAAGGTAAATTAACTCTCAAGGAACTCTCTCTTCTTTACTTTGCACAATAGAAGAATCTATGAGACCTTGAAAGTTAAGTCCCCTTGGGCTTGTACACTAGAGACATGTTTTATTTCAACAGTATGGTTTAAATACTTGAATGTCACCATATATGACCAAGATTGGAGAAAATGTTTCTTCTCCCAACTTTTACAGGGTGTGATTCTTAAACACTTTTATAATGTCCAGAGTATATACAAGGATATGTATTGTAACAATTATAGGTGTGTATATTTTGCAAAGATTGTAGTTTATCTCAAAAAGGAAAATATTTTCATAAATTTTTATTTTATAAGTACTAATAAAATTAATATGAAAGAAAGCTGTATATTGGTTTTTTATGATTATAGCAAATGTGCTTTCTAATATAACATTTCCTTTTTCATCCACGTGCTTAAAAATTCATTTTATAAAGAAGATTGACCTCTAGCCATTCAGCTGTGATGTGATCTCAAGTCTATTTATCTGTCCCTCTGATACTATTATATCAAATCCAATATCTCTAAAATAAAGGCTTAAATCTTCTATTCCAGTGAGGCCTTCATTGTTCTAGTACCCCAAAGCTTGGAGCAGCTTTGAACTCTGTCTTTTTTGTTCCCTTAGCTAATTTGTTACTAAATCCTGGAGCGTCTATCTGCTGCTTCTTGTGTGGATTCATTCTTGGCCATTTCTACTGTTACAATCTTAGTCCAATATTTATCACCTCACAACTGAATTACCATAACCATATCTAATTGGGTTACCCATTTTTAGAATCTTCCTTCCACTCAGATCCTTGTCCTACTGCCATAGTAATCTTCCTAAATCCGGGTTTTATTGTTACTCCGGTTCTCATGAAACCACACATAATAATGCCTTATTACACACCACGTCACATCCAAATTATTCATCTGGCCCTATTCTCACTTTTCCAACCTGATTTCCCATGTCCCAACACAAATTTGATACTTGGTAAATCTTCCCACCAACTTCCACATTTGCCAAGAGATTCTTTCCCCCTTTCTCCTGCTTTCTTTGCCTTCTCATCTTTTCCCTCCAAAGCCACTTAGCCTCCAATGACTCAGCTTGAGCTTTTCTTTCTTCCACTATCTCCAGCTTCTCCCACCCACACTGGTCCACTTTGGAAGAATAGATAAAGCACTGGATCAGGAGTCTGAAGATCTGAGTGAGGTTTTATCACCGTCCAGCTTGGCAAGTCACTGAGTATCCCTGAGCCTGTTTTCCTCATTTGCTTCGTTTGTTGAATAGAGTAATATTACTTGCTCAACACATGTTACAAATGAGTGCCACAGAAAAGACAGTAAAGGAAGACAGAAACACTAGGTATTGAACTGTGGTTAATTCTGTAGAGTTGAGCATTCACTCTCTTCAAAATGATGCCTACCCCTGGGTCCTTCCTCCTGAGTAGTCTTACCAGGAACTGAAGGATCAGCCTTCTGGATTACAAACCTCATTGAGTTCCCTCCTGAAAGCACAGATTTCCACTGTAGGGCAGCTCTCGTTTCCTGGCTGATCCGCCCATGTAAGACTGCCAAGGGTCACAAACCTTTTTATCTTATGCATAGGTGTTGCCACCTTTCCAGTTCTGGCTTTAGCTCTGGTTCTCTGTATTACACTTGCCCCTGGCTAGGGGCATGAGCCTGATTCTCTGTGCATGTCTCATGCACTATTCTCAGCAAAGCTCTTCTAACCCACTAAACATAATTAGTCTCTTGAAGGTAATCTAGTGGGAAGAGAGCCAGATGTCCCGGATAACATGCTGGCCTCTGATCTAGGTGTATGATGTCACGGTCAGTAGTGGGCATTAGAATTATTCTAAGTTGAGCACATGAAACCTGGGCACTACCTCAAGCACACAGTTATACGGCCCCCTTGGTCATTACATCAAATCTAATACAGCTACCATAATCACTTAGAATTCTGCAAGATAACCTATCAGGAACTCTGTCATCCACAAAAAAAGACCCACCCAAGCTGTATCCTATTTGAACACTAGGTTTGGAGCTGGACTTGGAAAACCAGTTCACAGAAAGCTCATCCATCTCCTGGAAAATGGGTATGGAGCTTCACAGTGGGAGGGTAAGGAGCAGACATATCTGCTGTCAAGACAGGGCAGGAAGTTGTAGCATAGAAGTCCAGTCCACAGGAAAATGTTCCACCGGGTTCCCATGCCAGCTATATTTAATAAGCCAGATTTGCAACAATATAAAACAATGGTTTTTCTCTCTAATTTTTAAATAGTAATTTTTTCACAGGAATGTTATTTGTGTTAACATAAAATGGAATCATTTTTAAGAAATATTTTAATTTTTTTCCGTTTTGCTTTCAAATATGGTAAACATTTCTATATATAATCTACATAAACAGGAGCTCTTTGGAGTTCTCAGTGATGCTTAAGAGAGTAAAGAAGTACAAAACCAAAAAGCTTCAGGACTATAGATTTAATAGAGTTATAAAATTTGAAACCTTACAAAAACAAAGATTAAATCCATCATTCAATTTACTAACTTCTTCATGAGGTTCTGACAGTCTGAAAGGCAGCTAAATAACTATAAATTGGAAACTCTTTAATGTGGTGTTCCATTTTAGAATTGTGAAGTTGAACAACTCCAAATGTATATGAAATATCAAAATTGTCTACTCAAGAGAGAGAAAAGGAACAACAAGCAAACCACTTGGCCGATGGTTATAGAGTCATATCAAATTGCCTCTGTTACTTCCTTTATAAGTGCTTTCGTTCCTTTGTATGTGATTTTAGAAAAGTCAGAAGAGTTTGATGCTTTATAGTCACCGTTGATACAACTTCTTTGATACAACTTCTGTAAGCGGCAATTTAGCAGCATCTATCAATTTACAAATGCACATACTTTTTCACCAAGAAATTCCGTTGTAGGAATTTATCTTATACTTGTTTATTGCAAAATGACACAAGATTATTCACTACAGCATTACTTGTAACAGCAAAAAATAGAACTAGCTTAAATGTTCCTCAATAGGGTTCTGGTTAAGTAAGTAATGGCACATACATAAAATAAAATAAAATAAAATGCAATTAAAAATAAATGAAGGAAGAGCAAGGGAGCTTTCCATGTATGAGTGTGGAGTAATTTTCAAGACTGTTTAGCAAGATTCAGATAGTAGTATAGTATAATATAGTATGTGATTATTTGCATAAAAAGAGGGTAAACAGAATATTCCTGGAGGATACACAAGAAACTGAACACTGGCTGCCTGTAAGGAGAAGAATTTGGCAGCTGAAGAACAGGATGGGGAGGAGACTTCACTGAATCCTTTTTTATACCTTTTGAATTTTGAACCATGTGGATATATAACCTAATAAAAAACAAATCAATCAGGTGGTCCCACGCCCAGAGAGAAACAGCCCATTCTAGAGGAAGAAGGGATAAAAACTTCAATTCCTGGCCAGGAATTGAACATCTTTTGAGCTCCTTTTGCTCGGCTGCTCCAAACTCTTTGGAGTGCCTTTTTCTCCTAATAATGACTCCCTAACCCTGGCCCTTGCCCTTGGCCTCCTTGGGCCTTTTGAGCTTCCTTTGCTTGGCCCGCTCCAAACTCTTTGGAGTGTACTTTCTTTTCTAATAATGGCCCTTGAGCCATTTGTACTGCTTGGGCCCGCTTCTGCTTCTTTGAAATGTATTTTTACTTCTAATAAACTCCTTTTCTGCAACTTTACCTCTCTGGTCCGTGTCTCCATTCTTCGGTTCCACGAGACCACGAACCCGGCACAAGAAATATCCTATATCACAAGGTCTTAGAAAGCATTGCCCAGCCCTGAGCCAAATATCTGCCTTTCCACAGCACCCAAACCATTTTTACTTGGAAAAGAAACTATCATTTATTGAATATGTCCCATCGAGACCAGGAGCTTCTTGATTTTTGTCTCATTCAATCTTTGCCAACTCTGGGAGATGGGTCAATCGGGAAACTGAAGTTCAAAGAGGTCAAATAGGTCACCTACCTGGTAAATTCCAGTGCCCTCACTGCCCTTGGCCTACCTGACCCCAGAGACTTTGACCTTTCCAATACTCCATGTCATCTCTCTACCTGGGGTATAATGCAAGACAGGGAGTCACTGTGGTATTTGTCACTGTGAAGAAATGATTATTTCTTGACTTTGGGATTTAGAAGTCTGTACTCGTATGCCCTTCTCCTAGCTCCTTCCCCGTCGTCTAGGAAGAGCTGGATGTGGAAGGTGATGATAACATGCAGTATGCATGGACTATTGCAAGATACTACCAAGAACCTTGAAATGAGGCAGCCCTCCTGAGGTCTCAAACCAGGAAAGAATGGAATTATGCCATGATGCCTAAATATACAGAATTGAACTCTGGGCTAGCCACTTTGAGCAATAACTTCCTTACAGGTACCAATAACATTTCTGAGGGTGTAATGTACCAATCTGAAGAATGGTTGGCCAGCCTCAGAAACAGGACAGGAGGATGGCTGTGACAGGCATGTTCCGTTTGTAGAGCATCACGATGGCGAGTTCTTAGCTGTTCTCCCTAAAGTGCCCCTAATAGCTGAGAAGAGTCTGGTGGTATAGCTATAATCATAGGAACAATAACTGCTCCCCTTTAGTGTGTCCTTCATGTGTCAGCTAGTGTCCTAATGGCATTTTGTGTTCTCACTCATTGAGTCTTGCAATTCTATGAGGAAGAATCTTTATTGTCTTCATTTCATTGTTGAGGAAACAGAGGCTTGGAGAAGGTTAGTGACTTGTCCAAGGTCACATAGCTAAGAAGTGGCAGAGCCTGAATCTTAAAACATTGGACTGTCGAACTCCAAGCCTATGCTCTTGACATTGCTACTGTACTGCTCCCCCTAAACCAGAAGCTGCCCATCTCAACCTCAAAACTTCTTTGAGGCTTCATGCTGTTTTTTAAATTCAGGCAATTTGGGGTATTTTAATTAATAACATAGCTGTGTATTTTAGTGTAAAGATATTATTTTAAATTACAAATTCAGTTATTTAACTTTTTAAAAAATTTTTATTGGGGAATAGCCATGGTCATTGGTTACACATTGCTTTCACGCTACAATGGCATAGTTGGCTCTTTTATGGAGGGTGCAGGTCACAGTGGCCCATGTGGGAATTGAACCAGCAACCTTGCTGTTAGCAGCACCATGCTCTAACCAACTGAGCTAACTGGTAACTCCCTAGTTATCTAACGTTTTATCCGCCAAATCTTTGGTACCCTAGAAAGATGTTCCAAGTTTATCCTGAGTCTTTTGTACCCCCTGGCACCCTGCAGTATAGCCCAAAGAACTCTTAAACTCCATTTTAAGAAACATGACCCAAAG